GGGTTGGGGTGATTGGGAGAAGCAAAGAGGGGCTGTGAGGACTAGGAAAGGAACAGTGGAACTGAACGCACTTTGCCAGTTGTAAATATCTACACCATGCAAAAAATGTTTATCATGCATTATCTCATTTGACCTTCTCTACAGCCCCATGAGGCACATTTGCATGTAATGTCACCATTTCAGAGATGAGAAAAAGCAGACACAAAAAGGTCAAGTCACATGCTCAAGATCTTATAGCCAATCAGTGTTGTTGCCAAATCCCAGATCTATTGACTCTTATTCGTGCATTAACTCATCATTAAATGTGTTCTTTTGAGCTCTTACAATGTGTGATGCATTACATGTTTGGAAAACAAAAAATAGTGGAGGAAAAAATACAGATTCTCTCCTCCCCTACTGACTTTCCTACCATTCACTAGAGCTCACAGTCTGGTACGGAAGAAATTAAATAAGTCCATTAAGATCTAGGTCTAATTTCTACACCATCTCTGCATATCTGTTTGCTGTATATATCAGAAGCCTGAAATAATCTCTATGATAAATCACTTGGAGTATCAAAAAACTTTAATGAATTTGGAAAAAAATTATATTCCCACATTATAGCTTGAGAAAAACACAAGTAGCCTAACCAATATCCTTGCCAATAAAATACTCCCCGTATTGCTTACCAATAGAGCCCTAACTTTGTTTGGAAGAGCAACAACATTCTCAACTTTCCCAATACTTTTGATACTAAGGGAAGCCATTTGCTCCTGTTCTGACCAAAGATGTAGAAGTGGAAATGCACTCAGTTAAGATTTTAGGAAAATCATTGCTTTCCTGATATAAAGGTACAGACTCTGCCAACATATCTCTTCTGCCCTTTTTCTTCCCTCGATTTTCTCCACATCACCCTCTTGTTTTTTCTTGGAATTGGATGTGATGCCCAGAGGAGAAAAAGCTATTCTGTGAGCATAAGGGGGAGTGTCGAGCAGCACGGATGTCAAAGCAGAAAGGTAGGCAAAGCCTGGGGCCTGGGTGAAACCATGGAGCCATCCTGTAGCACTGGGATCTCTACCTCCAAACTTCAGTACATGATAAAAATAAAACCCTATTCTGTTAAACCACTGAGGTCAAATTTCTGTTACATGCAGCCTAACACAATTGCCAACATAAATGCAGCCCTTGTTTTACTACCAATGAGGAACACCACTGTGTTCCTCTGTGACATTGACAAATGTCACAGAGCTACCTGGACTTTAGTTTTCTTTCTCTACTACATTAGCAATTTGGAAGTAATAAATGAGAATAATCTGTAACAATGAATGTTCTAAATTGAGATCTTTAAAATCTTGAATAATATGGCTGCTAGAATACAATTTTAGAAGTAGTGTAGATATCCTTAGGGTAATTGGATGGTGTGTGGCCAGAAGTGTTCCATGTGTGCCTTTACCCTATTCATGTGATACCCTACTGATGTGTCACATAAAGTCCCTGTACTTACTTATAGGTATATATATGAGATATTTGAGACACAGTGTCTTAGAACAGATGCTTATGTGATGGTGGTGATGCAAAACAGATTCTCTCTAAGATTAGTCTGTTTACATGGAGTTATAGATTCACGCCATCTGGATATAAACACAAGCAAGCTTTAATGTCTTAGTCCTGCTTGGTCTGGTGGAAAAGAGAATGGAGGATCCCTGGCAAAGAAGGGACTAAGTCTTCAAGTTTCTCAGCACTCTAGGTAGGGTGTGATGCAATTGTTCCATAGCCGCAGATCCTCTAAGATCTAGGTGACTTCGTTGGTGGGTCCCAACTGCTATGAGAGCAGCAACATGAGCTGGTTGAGTGTCCCACTGCCTCAGTTGTCCTGGGGAGTTGGCCCTAGCACTGTCCTCTAATAGGGACAGTGGAGAGTAGCCCTGATCCTTGTCAAAAGTAGCAGGGCAAACAGAGATGGGGCTCCTCACTTCATCAGCAGTAACTAAGCATGCACACGTTGCTCTGACACTCAAGAGCAGGAGACCCCAGACTAAAGTAACTCATCCTCCAATCTTTTAAAAATGTACACCTAAGACTAATCACACATACTTTTCAAAAAACAAACAAAACTGATGTATTAAATAAATTCTGGTTGCAACAGTTGGTTTTATATCCAAGGCTTAAAAAAATATTTTTTAACTATTAATATTTTGGGATGTATCTGATGAGAAGAAGGGGGGATAAAAAGGGAGAAGAGAATGTCTGTGCCTTCTCACCAAGACAACACCCAATAAAAACTAAACACTGAATAAATCTTCTGCAGATTTCCAAAAAAAATAAAGAGTCTTTACTTTGAATGCAGGAAAAAAATCTTTTTATTCATTTACCAAATATTTACCAAATGCTGACTCCATTGGGCTTTTTGCTTTTAATTATATCTGTTGATTATATAGTTCATTCTTGATAGCACACGTACAGTTTTGAAACACACAGGTCATGTGTGGCAAGTTTTTACCCTGGCCTGAAATTTCCAGCTGGCCCACATGCTTCTGAACTCCTTCTCTCCCTCTGTACCTTTTCTTTCCTTTTCTACTACCCTCCTTCCATTCAAATCCACCTGCTGCCAAATATCTTTCAAATGCAGTGGGACTACAAACTAATTTTGCTATTAGCTTAAGCAAAGCAAATAAGATGTAAATCCTCTGCCAAAGAAGTCACACAGTGCATCCCAAAGCCCAGTTTTCATATGCAATTTTAAGATGATCTACTGTGTGGTGTGATTCATGACACTGTTCTCCTTCCATTAACTCAGAGTTAATTATGTGACCTCTCCTTTTCACCACCTGAGATTCTCAAATTGAATTCAGCATCCTGAGAGATCCTGTTACTCTTTGCTGCAGTTAATAGCCACCATCACTGTATTGAAATACACACAAAGTCAGCTCGGATCATCAGCACCCCACCCGTGATCCCACTAGCAGTTTGTTTGGTGCTTACATTTGACCTTGGAGAGTTCCTAGATTCAGGCAAATTTCTGGATCACTAAGCTCATGTATCAGTACAAAATTTCATGAGAATCATGGGTGAAAACATGGTGAAGTAGTTCTGAAAGTAACATTGTCGGGGCCCAAATTGATCTCCAGAGATAGAGCCTCTCATAACCCAAAGCTGTGCCAGGGGATTCTTTTAGTCCATTTAAGCTTCGCTGCCTCTCCAAGTCTCTCCCTCTCACTGAGATGTTTCTGTTTGGTTGCCTGGAATTAATTTTCCTAGGCCTTTGTTTTCACAAACCTTTCATTTTATCTTTTCTTTTCTTGTGCTCCTTCTCTTTCTTTTCTTCCTCCTCTTCCTTATTTCTTTTTTTCTTCTTTTATTTTTCTAATCTCCAATTTTTTCGAATCCCATGCCTTTCTTCCTGCCAGATGACTTTTTCTAGCGTTCTCAATTTCAGTCCAAAAGTAAATTTAATTTCCTGGTTGCTAATGGAGATGGTAGGCGCACAATGCTGCCAGAACGTCTTTCTAATATGTAAATCTGATCATATTCCTCCGCTGCACAAAATTCTTCAACTGCTCTTATTATGCTCTCAAAATAAAATCAAAGTTCTTTAGCAAAGCCTTCATGTGTTCATTCAATCAAACAAATGTGTTTTTACTGAGAGACTGCTATGTGCCAGGCGTGATCCTAGCACATAGAGATAAAATAACAAGCAAAATGTCCTATATCCTCATGGAATTTACATTTTGGTATGAGAGAGAGAATAAAAAATAAATGAAGAATATAATTTCTGATACAAAACATGAAACAAAATAAAAAAAGTTGTAAGGGGAGAGAGTGACTAGAGGAGGGGCTCATTAGCTAGGATGGTTAGGGAAGGCCTCTCTGAGGAAGTCACATTTGACCAGAGACCAGAATGACAAGAATAATAAAAAAATATTAATTATCAGTGAAATTCAATTATACAATTGAATTTATTCCCTTACAATATGAATTTACTCTGTAAAAATCACTTTGAGTGGCAGTCTAACTTTGTCTATTTCTATATACTGCTTCCTTGTAGACTAAATTTTTGTACTTATGTGTCTCCTCTAAGTTAGTAAAATCTTACAGTCTGAGAGAACAAACTCACTTTCTTCCAGTTAGTCCTACTGCTACTCAAAATATGAGTCTTCCTGGACTTGAAACCCCTAAGTATTGTTAGACAGTGGGCAACTGGGTTTCCTTTTCAGGTAGAAAATGAGAACATCTAATATCTAAGATACTCTCCAAGTCCAAAATGTCTACAATGCCATGATTCCATTTTGAATCATAGGTTTATGGTCTACAAAAAACTAGCACCTAAGTTGACAAAATCTATTAGCTTATGAAATAATGTTTTAATGGCATAGAAGGTAATTAATAATAATTGATGAATTTACTAAGTTTTAAAAATTAATTTATGCTAAGAGGCTGGATGCTTTGATGTTAGAGTTTCAACACCTTTTATATTCCAATGGTTATGGTTTTGGAAAACCTAAGGAATGGCCTTATCTTTATAATTGTAAATGAAATAAATAAAAAAAAATTGGACAATAATAGCTAACATTGATTGAGGTCTTATTAAGAACAATGTTCTAAGCCTCTACATGTCAAAATTAACTTGTTCCTCTCAACAAAACTGAGGTAGGTCATTATATTTTTTACAGATGAGGAAATCAAGGCATAATTACTTTAATAGTCCAAACTATTCAATTAAAAAGCTGGGATTTGATCCCAGTGGTCTGACACCAGAGGTTATAATTTTAATTGTCACACTATACTGTACTTTTAAGCACTGTACTGAAGACCCTAGCTAGATGAAGGCAATTCACACTAAACAACATGGCTATTCAAGAAAGAGGAACTGGAAAAGTTCTTACAGTTATTTTTTAGGATAAATGTATCTCTCATCCCAAAGAAACCATATTCACTTTATAGTATGTAGGGCAAGTATATACTGTACTTCAGTAAGTCACAATATACAGGTAAGATGAAAAGTAGAAATGGAATTCACATACCTCTTTAAGACCATAGTGTCAGGAAGGCATCAAGACCACAAGTGAAGCTGCGAAGCAAGCACATGATAATACCAACAGTTAACTTCAAAGATAGCAGGTAAAAAGGAGGAGTTTATGTTCATTCTCAAATTAGCTTGAGGTTGATGGGCATAACTTAGTAAATGTGTGATCATTAGACTCACGCCAAATTGTAGTGAAATATGACTGTAGGTACCATATTATACACGTGTCCAAAAAGCATTATGAAAAATTAGGCTGGTGGCCATGCATGTATAAGAACTAGATGCAAACTTCATATAGGATTTTCTTTAATAGCCTTAAAACTAAAATGAGATCCTCAGAAATAAAGACTATGATATGGACAACATGCCACTGGTTCTAAGGACTACATTTTTTTTCTTTTAACAGGGAAAGAAGCTTCTATCCACCCCGCTGAAAAGAGGAATTGCATAGTGTCCACTACAGTAACACCAGAAGTTGCGGTAAGTGTTAAGATGCAAACTATTAGATGCTCAGTGAATAGACTGTGCTGGGGGGCTCTCAGAGGAGGGATGACCACTACACTCTGGCTGTTACTGACCAGTGCCCTGGACCTAACAGGTAAAACTTCACAGGGAGCATCTCACTGCCTAACCTTGACTATGAGACCTTTTGCCTGTTCTCCCCAGTGTTGATCAGAGTTCCACATTCTGATATCAGGGGTGGGCTGAGCCCATGTTGTTTCCATGCAGCTATAAAAGCCTATTTATTAATATATCCTGCTCAAGTCAATTTTATAAATAATCTTTACTGTGTGCAAGGCATTTGGAATGGGGCACTAGTAGAAGGATACAAAGATGAAAAAGATATGGTCTCTGCTATCAAAACTCTGATTCTAAAAAAAATATGTAAGTAATACAAGGCAAAGTGAAACTCATTCTAATGGCATTCCTAGAAAGAAGCTATAGAAGGACAGAGTGTTGAGATCCTTAACATTTAGTATATCACATGGAATCGGGATGCATCGCTCAGTTGCAAGCAACAGACAACAACTCTGAATATTGTGAGCAGAAAATGGATTTAATGAAAGGATATTGGGTAGCTTACAAAATGTCTGGGAGGGCCAGGCAGGGCAGCTTTTCAGACAAAAGCAGTGTCCAAAAATCACATACTGCAGAGCTGGTGTGATGGAGACACTGCTGCCACAAAAGCTGGACACAGAACTCACAATGTGTACTTCCAACCCACGGGCAGTGGACACAGCCTTCTGTCTCCAGAGACACTTTCTATTGCCTCTGAAAACTGGATGTTGTTCCTGCCAATCTCATCAGAATGGAGTCCATGCAGCTCCTACTTCTCCATCTCATCAGCATCTAGCACGAGTCTGAAGTGACTATCTCTTATTGCCAGTGTCTGGGTCATGTGCCCATGCCCTAGCTTCCCAGGTATGGGAGAACAATCACGATATTTTCAGCTTTTCTAGAAGGAGCCAGGTCTTTATAATTTGATGGGGGGGTTCACAAACATATGAAGAGTGTTCAGATGCTGTGAGGCCAAAAACCATTGCAACTGCCCACTAATGAAACAAGCCACACAGGACACCCAGCTTAAAGGGAGATGTATAGTCAACCTGTTTTGGCTTGCACGTCCTCTTTCCTTGCTCAGTAAGATAATGCTTTTTATCACTCATTACCATCCTGTATTCCCTTTTATCTTAGAGCATTTTGCAGTCTCCTTGGTGAGATAATCTGAGCTGAGACTCCTAGGATTGATTGTATCATGGTATTTTCATTTGTGCCCAGGATTATAAACAAGGCTATATTGAAGGGCCTAATGTTTAATTAAAGGAAAAATAGTAATTATTTTAAGTTAGGAGATGATATGGAAGAAAAATAGATATTATAGCATGTATTTTCAAAGAGACAGTTGGAGATAATTCGCAGAGGTGGATAGTTCATCTCACAACCAAGATAAATTTGAGACTATAGAAGTAGAGGTGACACAATCAGCTATTTGTTTTCAGACAATGAGCAACATGCAATGCAATACGTTTAACCATGCAGAATGATTTTAGGCAATGGAAAAATAGAATAAAGGAAAGAACCTCACCCAAGCATTTAACAGGATAATATGGAACAGGCTTCCCTAAGAGGCTCTGATTCACTAAGAAACACTCCCTTGATTTCCTCTGACCATTAGGTGGAAAACTGTTGCTAATTAAAAGAATTTTGAATCAAATGATCACACGGCACAAATGGCTATATAGAAGATTCAGGGCATTCCCTCTGAATGCCAGGCTCCTGTATACAAAGGTCTACTAGAAGTTCTACTTGAATATCCTTAAGTACATACACTCAACACCCCCCTCACTGAACTCATTCTCTTCTTGCCAGTTCCTGTTCTAATATTTCCTACTTGAAATATTATAAATGATGCCCCCCACACAACCAACCAGGTACTAGAAGGTTATCAGAAAGTCTTCCCTCGCCTAACCTCATATGCCTAATCTATCTCAAACTTCCTCAAATTTTATTTCTTAAATTTATTTTCATTCTGTCTGCTTCTCTCTGTCCTCACCGTTACCCCCTGCTGCAGCTGCAGTCATCGCTCACAGGAATCACGGCCACGTGCTCGTGCTGGCCTCTCCGGCTCTGGGCCTGTTGCCTGTAGAACCATCCACACGCCCGACCTGAAATGCAGAGCTCACTTGTCTTTTCCTCACTCAGGTTTTCAGATTCAGAGAAATCTGGTTTTGAATTCTGACCTCTCCATTGATTAGAAAGACGGTCTTGAGCAAGTTACTCAACCTCTAAGCCTCAGCATCTACATTTTAAAAATGAAACATAACGCTTTTTTTTCTTTTTAAATGGAGATGACTCTAAGGATTAAATAAGAAATGTGTTGAAAGTGCCTAGGACAGTGGCCAGCATAAAGTAAACTCTTCAGTGAAATTTTTCATAATCATTATCAAGAATTAAAATCTTTTTGATGTGGATTCTCAATCAGAGCAGAATTCTAATACAAAGCAGATTTCCTTTTTTAAATAAAGAAACAGGAAGGACAATGAGTTAAGGATGATTTGCATGCCATAAAGAGTGCCATGTAACAAATGACACCCCTGGAATCTCCTAAGGGAAAAGGGGGTTGTTTACTTCTCAGTGGGAACAACATTCCAGTGCAAAAAAAACCCCCAAAAAAGTCACTGAGATGCATGAGAAGTGACAGGAGCAACAGCTGCAGCACCAGTAAATGTTTTACAGGTATTCATTCATTTATGTATTCATCAAACATTTATTAAGCACCTACCATGTGCTCTGTGCTTCTTGCTGAGAATACCAAGAATAGGATTCAAAGTATGCTCCTAGAGCCGTTCGCAGTTTAGTCAGAAAATCGTAATTTAATGTGCTTTATATAATAGAAATACATCCTATAGCCTTGAAGATCTATAAGACCTACACGGAGGGGGAAAGGAATTGAAGGGAGTGACCAGAGTAGGAGGAAAGGAAGGGGGAAGGAGGGTCATCTGAGAAAGAGAGCAGCACGTTGACAGATTCAGATGTGGGAGAAGTTCTGGCTGACAAGTCCAAGAGCAGTCAAAGGTGAGCCTTCTGATGTGGTTGAAACATGTACATCTGGTTGTGGCAGGCCCTTGGGCAACAGTAGGACACCAACCTGGGGCAATTACCTCTGGAGCCCAGGTTCATCTGAGGTGCCCCCTGGATCGTGGGTCTCTCCAACAGTCAAGCTAGTTCGTTCAAAAGACCACTTGTAGGCCGGGCGCGGTGGCTCACGCCTGTAATCCTAGCTCTCTGGGAGGCCGAGGCGGGCGGATTGCTCAAGGTCAGGAGTTCAAAACCAGCCTGAGCAAGAGCAAGACCCCGTCTCTACTATAAATAGAAAGAAATTAATTGGCCAACTGATATATATATATATATATAAAAAATTAGCCGGGCATGGTGGCACATGCCTGTAGTCCCAGCTACTCGGGAGGCTGAGGCAGTAGGATCGCTTGAGCCCAGGAGTTTGAGGTTGCTGTGAGCTAGACTGACGCCACGGCACTCACTCTAGCCTGGACAACAAAGCAAGACTCTGTCTCAAAAAAAAAAAAAAAAAGACCACTTGTAGCCCCTTTACCACCAAACTGCGAGATTGGTTTAAGGCAGCTCTTCTTCAGGGCTACTCTGTGCATCTATTTCTACCTGATCACATTTTCCAAAAGGTGCAGTGGCTTGTGGCTTGTTGGAGAGATAGCAGAGGCCAGGGAGGGAGGAATAAAGGGCCACATTGTAATTGGTTGAGTTATAGCTTTTATGCCAAATAACAAAAGTATTTTCCAGACTTTCAGTGCCTCACAGGAAGGGAGACCACAAAGAACTCTCACTTATCTCTGATCTCCCTCTCCTTCCCTGTCTCTCTCCATCTCCCTCTTCTTCTTCCTCTACCTCTCTCTCCCCACCCCTATTTCTCAGCCTCTCTGTCCTTCCCCTGCCCTCTCTTATCCACACCACCCCTTCCTTCCTCTGTTCAGTCACCCAAACTATCATTTAAGAAAACTAAACCCCTCCTCATAAATTTTCTCATGTATGTTCCTGCCTCAGGTACTCACAGCATTCTCTTCAGCCCAGTCATGGAGATCCCAGAGAAAGAAGGATGGAATATGGCCCCCCAGTTTCAATCTTGTATCCTTCTCAATGAGAGCTGCAGGTCCTCTGACTTCTTTACTATGCTGTATTCACTGTACCTGAATTTTAATCCCAGACTCACATTCCCCTGCAAGACCTTCGGAAGGTTACTCGACCTCTCTGTGCCTCAGTCATGTCAACTGTAAAATGGTTAGGATCACAATATCTACCTAATGTTATTTAATGATTAAATGAATTAGCACATATAAAGTGCTTAAAATAGCACCTAAAATATAGTGACTGGTAAGTATTATTATTTCCTAAGAATTAAACACACTTCATAAAGATACTCATTAATCTTCCTCAGGGGAAAAAATTCCATATCCTTAGAGGAAAGGACATAGTGCCAGTTGGCATTGTGTTGGATTAATTCCTCAGGTTAACTATCCCACACCACCCTCACCTTGTGCCGAGAACCCCTGGGCTGCTCCTGCCCACCCAAGCCAGGCTGAGTCTGAGACATGTCAACACCTGGGTGTTCTCCTGCCTGCCCAGGAGAAAAGGCACCAGCTCTGATGCTGCCACTCACATTCAACCCCTTGTTCCCTTGCAGCTGACTCATAGCACCTCACAGCATCACCATGAGGGCCCGTGGATCATCCTAGGGAGTTCGGATTTTAATCCTGAGACAGCGGGGATCCACCAAGATTCTTGAGGGAGGAAAACGATGACCAAATGTGCATTTTAGGAAAGGAATTCTATCAGCAATTTATGTGGCTCTGTTGAATTGGAGGTAAGAGAAGTTGGAGGCAGGGGAACCATTTAGTACACTGCCGAAACAGTCCAGGCTAGGGATGGCAAGGCCTGGCCTCAAGCATGGCCAAAGAAATGGATGTCTTCTGAAGTTGACATACCAGAACTTAGATTCACAAGGCAAAGGAGGAAGTTTTCAGCTTAGACAAATGGGTGGATTAATTGCCATTAATTGAGACCAGTAAAAAAATCTAGAGGGTGCATAATGAGCCCTCCTTTCCTCTTGTGTAGTTTGAGGAATCTCTGTACAGAAGTGTACGACAGGCTATTAGAAATATGAATCTGCCTATTGGTGGAAAGGTCCAGGAGATAAAGATCTAAGAGACATCACCATGTAAGAGAAGGCCAAGGTCACTAAAATGGATGAAGTTGCCCAAGAGCAAGATATAAAGCAGGAAATAAAAAGGACCAAGTGCAAAATCCTAACATCCAACCAAGGTGGATGAGAAAAATCAAGTGCAAGCAAAGGAAGATACTGTCATGGAGGCAACTGGAGGTGCCAAGGGTGGTGCTGCAGATGCTGAGATGAGGGACATATGAATTTATTCCTTCAACCCAATACTTATCGAGCACTCACTATGTGCCAGGCACTACTCTAGCTACTGCAAATATGCCTGCACACAAGAGGAAGAGTCCCTGCCCTCATGGAATTATATCCTGGGTAGACGAATAAGAAGCAGGTAGATAGTGACACATGATCTGAAAAAATCTAAAGCAGGTAAGGGGATCGAAAGTGATGGGCAGAGCAGGTGCCACATTTGATAGCAGCAGTCAGGGAGAGCTTTTCTAAGGAATCACACTGACCCAGAGATCCATATGAAGGGGAGGAGAGAGGCATGCAAACGTCTGGAGAAACATGTTCTAGGGGCAAATGCACCAACACACGCAAAGGCCGTGAAGCAGCACTGCTGTTTGAGGAACAGGAGGTTCGCCACTGTAGCTGTGGTGGTAAGCAAGGGGGTGTAATAGGAAACGAGGCAAGAGAACTGGCTTCGGGCCAGCCCATGCAGGGTCTCGCTGAGAGGTCAAATGTGATGACTGAGAAGACGCTACTGGATTTAACAATTAACAGGGCATTGATGACCACCGCAAGAGCAATTCAGTCAAGTGTTGTGGAAAGAAGCCAAATAGACTGCAGGAGCTGAGGAGGGGAGAGAGAGAGAGAGAGAGAGAGAGAGAGAGAGAGAGAGAGAGAGAGATGGCCAGTGCACACTCTCCTTCCAGATCCATTACGTGCCAGTGAAGGAAAGGAGAAAGGGCAGGAACCTAATGGGACTGCAGGCTTAACACAGGACAGGCAAAGCCCTGTGCTTAGAGAGAGAGGACCAGCTATGTGGTGAGCTTGAGTAGGACAGGGAAAGAGAAAAAGGAGCGGAAGCGGCCCAGAATCAGGGAAGGGGTTGGGAGAGTGGCAGCCACACCCAAGACATGTGCAAAAACGAAAAGCCCGGGAGAGAGTTTGCGAGCCTCTGCTCCAGCAGGCTCAGGGCAGAACCCTGGGCAGGGGGAAGTGGGTCAGGCCAGAGAAGACTCCTGAAGGTAAATAGAACTAGGTAAGAGAAGAAGAAGAGTCATCCGGGACACTGATGCTCACACACTAGTGTGAATCCCTAGTGCACAGAAATTGGTGGTTAACAAGAAAATAAATCCACACTGTACAATCTGTATGCACTTAACAGGGCATATTCACAGCTAATTAAATCCATATACAATTTGTCCATATCCAGCTATTTTTTGTGCCTGTCCAAAGTTCTAGTAAAGCATCTCTTTCAAAAATGGTTGACTGCTAAATACTTAAAGTTAAAAGTATTTCAACTTCACTTATCAGGACATTCCAGAGTAGTGCTAAGAGCATTGTTTCTGGCACCAAATTGCCTGGGTTTGGATTCCTCCTCTGACACTTGCCAGCTCTGTGATCTTAGGTAAGTTATTTATCCTCTCTATGCCTCATTTTTTTCAACTGTTACATGGAAATAAGAATAATATCTACTCTCATAAGGTTATTATGAATATTTATAAATCACTTAGAATAGGATCTGGCAATATGAGGATTGTATCAATATTTTTTAAATAAACTTATCTCTTGAGCAATAATAATGCTAACTATTGGACATAAATTAGCCTAATCCTCATTTTAAAACTCTAAGACAAATTTTAATGTTCCCACAACAATAAAACCCTATATCATTCTACAAATGAAATAGACTCCTAATAGTTAAGCAACCGTTATGTTACAGTCTGAATGTCTGTGTGTCCCCAAAATTCAATTTGTTGAAACCTAGTCCCCAGTGTGATAGTATTAAGATGTGGGGCCTTTGACAGGTGATTAGGTCGTGAAGGTGGAGCCCTAATGAATGGAATCAGTGTCTTTGTAAAAGAGACCTCAGAGAGCTGCCTTGCTCCTTATGCCATGAGAGGACAAGAAGGCGCCGCCTATGAAGAAAGGGCCCTCTGACAGTGCATTGATCTTGGACTTCCCAGCCCCTAAAACTATGAGAAATAAATGTCTTCTCTTTTTGAGATGCCCAGGTTATGGTATTTTGTTATAGCAGCCTGATCAAACTAAGAAGATCACTAAGTGACTTTGCTGAGACTGCATAGGAAGGAAGAATAGGAGCTGGGATTTGAACTTGTGTTTACTGGATCCCAAAGCATGCGCTCCTTTCACTAAATCACTGCAAAGGTTTTCCCTTCCAGAGGCTACAGCTATGTAGGAATTTCAGGGTATAGAAGGTCATTTATGTATTTAATGCTATTCCCTTTTGAATGTGTTATGTGGTGTGTTTTCATATACATCCCAGCAATAGACTCCAAATCATATCATATCATATCACATGCATGCGAGTGCACACACACACACACACACACACACACACACACACACACACACACTCCAAGCTCAACACTGAATTACAGCCCAGATTTTCAGGTTAAGTTTAAAGTATGTTAGTATGGGTTTGGTTGTTTTAAACCTTTAATGGCATTTGATACATTAACTTCCAGCCACCCTGAAGTATTTTCAAAATGTCATCTGAAATGATTGATTTGTACTCACCTTTTAGAAGGTTGCTTAAGCCCTACCACAAAACTTAGATGACTGATTAAATAAAAATGAGCTATTTCCCTTATCTACCTTAGGAATTCCCCCGTAAGCAGCACAGTACATTTCCACTCTGGATCCCTCACGGGCACACAGCCTGCAGCTGCCGTCCAGGGCTTCCTAAATGCCAGTCCTGACTGCTCTGTGATTATGTTATCCCAGATCTGCAGCAAAATGAGAAAAAAATAGAATGAAAACATGCACACACACACACTCACCCCCAAACACATCTAAGTTTGCTGAGGTTTCTTTTTCAGAAAGAACCATTTTATTGGAGATGCAAGATCACACGATGTTTGAGGTGACAACATCATAAGCCCCGGAGCCTGACTTGTGGATTCAACTCCCAGCCTCATCACCTATCAGCAGAGGACCCTTTAACTCAGTGCCTCAATTTTTCCTCCTATAAAATTAAGGTAGTAGTTTCAACTTCATGGTCTTTTTGTGAGGATTGGGTTTATGCATATAAAGCATTTAGAACATGCCTGGCATATTAGAACTCAAAACACATAACCCACTGGTATCATCATAACATTTTGCCCCTTTTACATTTTTGGTCTTAGAAATACCTTTTACTTTTATAAACAATGTCACGAGTGCATGGTTGTTATAGAGGTTGATTTTGTTTCTTTGTATGTTTAGTTGGTTGGGTTTTTTAATATTTTTACTTGGTAAAATATAAAAGTTTAAATGATGTCACTATCACATAGTGGTTGTTGGTTCTTGTTCATTTTGTCAATTGTTGTTGTTTTAATATCCTAGTTAACAAAGAAAAGATTAGCAAACCTATGTCAGTCACCAAATTAATTTTTAATGTTTACTAGCCCGTGAATCCCTTAAATTTTTGACTGTTACTCTTCGACCTTAGGAGTTCTTTCAATAAAATAGCTGCACCACTGGCTCATGTGCAGCTATGAAGGGTAGGACATTTCATTTTCATTCAAGCCAGAGGGATAAAGGAATACAATACAGACAGGCTAGTGTAACTCCTGGGACGCTTTTGCCAGCCCATCTAATTAAAGGCTGCAGCAGTTATTCAAGCAAGACAGAAAGAATATCATCAGCCTAAGTAATGAAACTAGTTTTATAATTTGATCATGTGGGGATGTAAGAAGGTAGTCTGTCCATTTTGCTTTCTACAGTATAGTTTGTTACAATGTAGTTTGTTATTTCAAATGTGAAATAACATCAACACAGTCAGAATTTACTCTGCCCCCAAATATATAGAAAATCCTAAATTGAGCCTTAAATTTCTTAAGATCTCAAAGTTCTGCAAGTATCTTCTCAAGCTGCTATAACTGCTAGTGTGGTAAGCCTGCTAGCCTGTTAAACAGAAATTTCTCAAATTTCCTCAAAACAGTATTCCCTTGCATACTGTGTTAGTTTCCCCAGGTTGCCATAACAAAGTACCATAAACTGAGTGGCTTAAACAACAGATATTTATTGTGTCACAATTCTGGATGCTAGAAGTGTGAGATCAAGGTGTCATTAGCATCATGCTCCCTCTGAAGGGTCTGTTCCAGGCCTCCCCCCTGGCTTTTGGTAGTTCCTTGGCTTGTGGCAACATAATCCAATCTTCACAAGGCTTTTGCCTTCTGTGTGTATCTGTCTCTGTGTTCAAATGCTTCCCTTCTACAAGGATACTTGTCATTCAAAGGAGGGGTCCAGCCTACTCCAGTATGACCTCATTTTAACTAACTGCATCTGCAATAACCCTATTTCCAAAGAAGGCCACATTCTGAGGTCCTGGGAGTTAGGGATTCAATATATTAATTTGGAGAGATACAATTCTCCACCCATAACCAAAACTCTTTCAGAAAAAGGGTTCTAAGGTCAAAAGAGGGGGAAGAGAATTTATAAACTCTACTATCTATTTACATACAAAAGGCACACCAGCATCTTAAAAATATTGAGTCACTTACAATAAAGATGTCTTATAGAATAAGAAAACTTTATAAAACCTAGTGTTTCTCAAATTTAGGTGACCTGGGAATCCATGTTCGTAAGTGACATCCATTACATCCCACTAGTGTTCCATGGAATACCCCTGAGAAAATGCAACTGGATTTCAAGCAGCCCCCGCTGAGAGCAGCCCAAGTTTAAACCACAGTCATCATCTGGAACAACAGTGAAAATAAATTCCAGGCAAGCCAGCAATCCTATGACAGGCCTTAACCTCCTTGCCTCTTCTTGTCTCTCGGGGAGGAGAGTGGGCGTGTTCCAAAGTCCCGGACATAGAAGCTCTTCACAGCAATTATGACAGACTCAGAATCAAGTGGCAAGAAGGGACGCCATCGTTAAGCAACGAGGGGAAAAACAGGACGCTGACATTCTGCCAAAGCTCTTTAAATGAGGTCATGCACTCGAATGCACAGACCATTGCTGATAACTGGCAGTGCAGGGAGAATTGGTAGGAAACAACAGAGTGTGGGGGTGGCTGTTGTGCTGTTCTATGAGTGGGAAGGAAAATGGGACAGGGGCGGGGAGGGTCGCCGAGCTCAGGAGCTGCCCCACTGCTGCTGCGGCTGCTGAAGCCACAGCTGGCTGCCTTGGGCAGGTGCGCCAGCCGCTCTCACGTCCCCGGGCACACGAGGGCCGGAGCTCCGGGCCACCTGGGCGGCCTTGGCGCTGTGGGTTGCTGCCCTGTTAATCCCACTCGGCGCATCCCCCTACTTGACGGAGCGGGAGAGGAGTCCCGGTGCAGCGGCTGATGTGCTTTCCTTTTCAAACAGATGCTGCTTTATTGGACGCCTGACTTTGCGATTAACTTTGGCTTATTTTTTGCCGTATGCCTTTCCCAAAGCTGCTTTAGTTCCGGGTGCAAGCTGAGCGCCTGTGATTTCATTAATCCGGTACTTTCTGCTCCCAGCAGCTTGGTTCACCACTGGGTCTGCAATTGGCATTTTGCTCTCGCCTCCTTTGGCCTGGCTAGAACAATTGCTGGCCTATTTGTCTCGACAGGCTCATTATCGATTTGGCCCATGGACTCATACCAGACGTTGCAGAGTCACAGTCTTCATTCAGACCTGATGGAAAAATATGCTAAATATGGCGACACCTGTGGAGTCCTCTTTCTGCCTGATACGGAGAGAGGAGAAATGAACAATTGTACTGCAGAGAGCAGGACAGCCGACCAGGGGCATTTAATTGGAAAGCAAACCAGCCTCAGGTATGTGAAGACGTGGGAAGTGATGCCCGGATTTCGATGGGAAACAAATACTGAATAAATCATTTGAAAATAGATAGGGGAGAAATATAGAGCTTTTTGTTAAAGAAAATCTGCTCAACTTGAGCTCTTCCAGGCACACATAAAAGGGGGTATGATCTCATAATAGAAGGCAATTTGGCATCCTCTGGTTAAAAATGAGGCTTTGAAAGCAAATTTCCAGGGCATCCAATCTTATCCTCTAAATCCCAAACATATCCTCATGAAACAACTGCTTACCGGGTTAAAAGATTAGCTGAGCAGGAAGATCAGAGATTGAGATGCCAATGCAGTGTGCCACACAACTCAAGCAAGCAGGGTCTATAATATAAGCCCGAACTCCCATTTGGCCATTATTTGAAGCCATAGAAGAAGATTCATTTTCTTCCCCATTCCCAAACCCCAAAGGACTCATGCACATATCCACACATGCACACACACACACACACACACATGTACATGCACATACAGAAACACAGCTGGAGTTTCTGCTTCCTCATTCAGAAAAAGAGGAAAAACATCTGCTCTTGAGACTTGCTTTGACAAGGGCATATGTGCCTACCTGCCTCTCCTCCCCATTTCACTCTAAGGGAGGAGGTGGAACAGATTGGGGAAAACTGTGGGAAAATATCACTTGGTTCTCCTGGTGAGAAATTGAAACCCACCAAGACTGTTGTTTAAAATTCAATTGTTCTTCAGTCAGCAACATATTGTAAATTCTGCCTTGGAAACCAAACCAAAAGATTGCAGAAAGCTTGGAGATCAGGAAAGAAAATGAAAACCGGGAGAGTGGTTAGTGATTCCCTCTAAGTGGTCTAGGGTGTTCTTTAAAACTGCATCATTATGACAGGCTCCCAGCAGGGCTTTTCTAAGCAATTCCTTCTAAATGCCCTCAGAGTCAAAACATGCTGTAAGTTCAAGGAAGAATGAATTTCTGAGATGGAATACGCAACCTCTTTGGGATCTATGAACCAGAGGGTGGTGCAGGAGGGCATTGGATGCTAGGCATTAGAATTGCTACAAGAGATAAAATATGGTGAGAATCCAACCTTGTTTTGGCAAAGTTTGTAATATTTTGCAAAGTCTTCACAAGCAAAAGAAAGAAAATGAAAGCATTTCATTTCTAACTGCATTTCTTTCTTTCCCGCCCCAATGACACCTGATTTTTGTTGTTGTTTCCACTAATAAATCATTTTAACAATGGTGTAGTATCCCTGAGATGAATTTTTATTCAAATATACTTTATTTTGTTATTGAAACCAAATGTGAGCCAGGTGTGACATGGGCTCCTCTGATGCCTTTTGGAAGGCAATATCCTCTAACCCAGTGGTTCTCAATCTTGTCTGAACATTGGCATCACCTGGGAAGTGTTTAAGAAATATTGATGCCACCATCCTCCCTCCCCAGTGACTCTGGTTTATAATTGGTCTGGGCCATGCACAGGCATTGTGATTTTTCAATTTGCAGCAAAAGCTAAGAACCAATGTAAGACTAACTTGTATTATTTGAGGAATATTTCAGATATGTTCCTCTAGTTCCAGCCCTTTCATAGATCTCTCTACTGAAGAATTTTCACCACTGACATCAAAAGTCCAAGTTGTAGCACAGCGAATGGGCCTGATACCCGTGACAAGATGAACTGGGACAGCCCCCTCTGCCTGCGGCCTGACCTCTCAGTCTCCCTAAACTCACCAGACTGTATATCAGACAGATTGATAACAGAGGAGTTCAGGCAATTTCAGAAAGGAGTTACAAATCTAGAAAAGTACAGGAGGTTCTATTAAATTGGACTTCCCTGAACCTCAAAAGGAAGGTATTCCTCGTTGGTATTTCCCCCACTATTTCCCAGGGTTCTTGGCCATCGTGTATCAAGCTCCTCCCCCAAGGCCTTCTTTTTGAAGCCTCTCTGTGGAAATCTCTATCCTCTGTAGGAAAACTCCTCCCCTTCCCACTACCAAATCCTCCCTGCCCCCATCCCATATGCCATATTCCCAGTGAGATTCCTGCAGTCTTGAGAAGCAACCGTATATGTAAGCCAGGCAGGCAGGGATGCTCATCGCCTTCCAAGCCCCTCTACTTGCCAGGGGAGAAATAGGGTCCAGTCTCATGGGCAAGGGTGGTCCTGGGTCCTCCAAATGAGTTTTCTTTCCTGTAGCTAGAGCTGTAGTCCTAACAGCAACTTCAACTAGAACATCTCAATTAGGCAATTTATCCCATTTATCTCAATTAGGAAATTTATCCCATTCAACCTTCAAAAGATATATCCTAGACCTGGAGGCACAGGAGTCACTACTGAGCTCATAAAGGTGTTTTGTTCATTCCTGCCTCTGGAGGAGGAGGGCCCACCTAAATCACTGAAGGGGTACATTAGCATTAGTGGATGAACTCTGCCCCCAGCTCAACTCTGCCACATGTATTCCCACTTCTACACTTTCCATCAAGCTGCTTCCTTTGCCTGCACCACCATTCCCACCCCTTCACCTGGCTAATGCCCATTTATACCTTAAGTCTCAGCTTGGGTGTTACTTCCTCCAGGAAGCCTTCCCTACCACACCTCCTAGGCTAGCTTGGACCTCCCTTATGTATTCCAACATATGCATTCCCCTTTCATTTACTTGCTCATAGAACTCTTCACAATTTTAAATATCTGTTCCGTGCCTACTGACCAGATTGGAAACCATTTAACAGTCAGACGATATCATTTGTTGGTGAAGTTGCACAGCAACATGAACTATTTAACACTGCTCGTGGTAGTGAAAGTTTGCACAAGTAATAACACAGAAATCCAATTTCTAGATAACAACCTCGGAGAAATTATTTCAAATGTGTGCAATGCGACATTGATGAGAATGTGCATAATAGCATTGATTGTAATGCCCATGATAGGAAAATGGATAATTAAATTGTGTTATCTAATTTCATAAACATATTCATAAAATGGACTACTATGCAACAATTAAAATGAAGGCATTGAAGCTACATGTACCAATGGATGAATGTCACAAGCAAAATTCTAAGAGAAAAATTCAATCCATAGAAAACTGCTTACATTTTGGTATAATTTATATAAAGTTTAAAAATATGTAAGCAAAATTATAACTTGTTAGGAACACATACAGATATAATAAGTTATATTATTTTTCTAGAGCTGCTATAACAAGACACCATAGACTTGTTATCTTAAACAACATAAATGTATTATCTCACTGTTCTAGAGGCTAGAAATCTGAGATCATGGTATCAACCTGAAAGGAGCTGTTCCATGCCTCTCTCCTATCTCTGGGTGGTTTGTTGGCAATCTTTGGTGTTGATTGGTTTGTAGATGCATCGACCAATGTCCACCTTCATATCCACATGGCATTCTCCCTGTGCACATGTCTATGTCCCAATTTTCCCGATTTATGATGACACAGTCATGTTGGATGAGGGCCCCCCATAATGACCTCTTCTTAATTTGATCATTTGCAAACACCCTATTTCCAAACAAGATCACATTCACAGGTACTGGAGTTAGGACTTGAACATTTTGGGGAGGACACCAGTTAACTCAAAACATAAATACATATATAAAGAAATGCATGGTAAAAATAAATGCCAAATTAGGGAAAGTGGTTATTTCAGGGGAGAAGGAATATATGTTCAGGAAGGGGTTAATAGAGGCTTCAACTGTCATGGGAATATTTTATTTTTTAAGCTGATCATGAATATACAAGTCTTCCCTCTATTATTCTTTATGGTTCTTTTTAATTCTAAAATACTTTGTGGTAATTATAAAATATATATTTTATGATAATTAATTTTTTCCTGTAGGAAAAACATCCCATTATACATTATAAAATACATTATACATTCCATTAGAAAATGTACAAAGGCAAGGCCACTGTATTGCAGGCCTAGCACAATGCTTGGCACACAGTAGGCATGTTAATAAATCCTTGAGCTAATTGATAATTGATAAGGTGGACGTTATTATCACTACCTGGAGATGAGGAAACTGAGAAGAAACAGGTTATGATTGCATTATTGAATGGTGATTAGCAGAGTCAGGACTTGAACCCAAGCACTCTAACCTTCCAAATATCACCATCCCTCTTTCTTTGTGTGTGGGAAGACAACTGAGGACTACAGAAATCCAAAGAGCTATTATTTCTTACTTTTGTCATTGGATACTCAACAATTTACTGGGCAGAGACACTCAGATGTTAATAGGCCTCAACATCTTTAATAACAAACCACTATTCAAGGAATTTAGTGACCAAGATGTAATATATGGAGATCTACAACCACTGGCATCTCTGTGCCTGCCACCATATGAATCTGGCCTACATGTAGGTGGGCAGCCTTGAAGAATTACAGTAATCACATCTTCCTTATGCCAAAAAGCATGCAGATAATGAGCTGGAAGAATCTAGAAAAAAAAAAAGGGTATGCTATAGCACATCACTGAGGATAAGGGTACCTAGTAAGATTGCTCAATTCCCAATTATCTCCCCTTCTCTGGAATTGTCTTTTAGTCCACAGAAGTGGATCTTCCCATCAAGTTTATACTATGAGTCCCCGCTCCCTCATGGCAGTTGATTGGACCAGGGATGGACACTAGACCAAAGCTTACCAATTACATGCAGATGAGGAGCTGGGACTCAGAAGTATTAGTCTCTGCAGCAAATAGAACTGTAACATCTGAATTTGGTGCTGTGGGGTGGCCGCATTTCACCTGTTGAAAGATCTGGAGGGGTGGGGACAGGGAGAGCGGCAGTGAATCACGATAAGATAAGGGATGAAAAAGGAAATTACCCCATGGCTTTCCAGGTGTGTCCATTCTGTATCCTTCCTGAGATCCTCCTGTATTCCTGTCCTTGGGTTCTGAGAAAATCCCTGTATGCTTAAAACAAATGTCCATTTTACTTAAGTGAGGGAGAGTTAGTGCCTGTTACATGTAACCAGTTACCTGACTAATACAGCTTGGCAGATGGTGGGATAAAGCACAACAGAGAAAGGAACTGAATTTCTCAGCCTAACAGGTGGCAGGAATGAGGCACTCGGTCGCATTCTTTCAGCCTCTCCCACCTGCTACCTTTCCATCCCACTCAGCAAATTCACATTTTTTTCAATCCAGAATGGGAAACAAATGAAAAAAACAAAACCTTCTAAATTATTAGCACAAGCCAAATGGAGCTGGACAGCCTCCAGCTACCCACTCAGCCACCCTCAAGCAGCTGTCTCTGAGAGCTAAATGGCAACAACCATGACAATAAGAATTCAGCTTTGGGAGCTCACAGGAGCCTTCCTGGAGCCAGGGAGGTGGGACACTCAGGCATTCAGGGAAGTGGAAAAGGGTTTTGGCACTGAGAGGTTTGAGCAACGAAGGTGAGAAGTGGAAAAAAGAAAGGCTGGAGTGGGCAGAACCACCAAATATCTTCTTTAACCTCTTCATAGGTTGTATTAGTGACTATTGAATGAGTCAGTGATAGTTTGCAGCCAAGAAAGAAAAAAAGCCAAACTCATTTATCAGTGTGTCTCCATGTCTACCAGCTGCCCCACACTGGCAAAGGTGTATATTAGCTGACCTGCATCATCTTTAAGGAATTATACAGGACTATGCTGCATCCAGACCATAAACACCTATAATCATATCTTGTTCAACTTTGTAACCAGTAACTAGCCTAATGCTAGGGTAAGGGTTGGCACTTAACATATGCTTGGTGAACGTGTTAAATTGAATTGAATGTGCTATCAAGATGACCAGAATTGGTAATGCAGTTTGGCAATATCCTTTTGATTATTGCAACTAGAAATAAATGTTTAACACTAATACTTGGAGCCAATGTTTCTTCTCCAAAGAGAGAAAATCAGAAGGCTACTTTTCTACCAAGAAAGTTCAAAATGACATCTCCTACATTGTAGCATAACTAGGAAGATAAAACGTAGAAAGAGCATCCGGATTATAAACAAAAAGAGCTTCAGTTCCAAGCAAAGTAATACAATGAAGCATTCCTTACATAACATGGGTGGGTTTCTCCACCATGCAACCCACTCCTGTTTACTTCCACACTCCCCACATGCCTATCAGCATCATAGATTCTCATCATTTCATTAAGAGGGCTCGTGAATGTCCCAAAAGTGAAAAATGGAAGAATGCCCATTTGGGACAGTTCAGATGGGGCTTAGCAAAGCCACACTTCTGGTGGACAACCCACCAATGACAGGTGGGCTGAAAAGCCATCACTAGAAGGGTCCATTGGGCATCAGGGACAAGAAAATGGCTAATGTGGCTTCCTAATTCAGATGATGGGTAGTGCTTCCCAGAATGTTGATGGATCTGTAGGATCTTTAGACTGGAACTTCCCAGTCTGTAGGACTGATCTGGCTTCCAGAGGCCCCACTGCACTGGGAATCAGTGAGCTTTTTTGCTGACTCTATTCCTCTACCTGTGACTCCTTTAGGTGGGCACCTTCTCTAAGCTCAAATCCCATTCCATTTTTTATTCCCTTCCAGGTCTCATTGACCCTCAATGCAAGGCCCTAGTAGCAGAATAATCTGGATCTTTTTGCTTCCCTTTCTAGTATATTTTGGAAAAATCTTGAGGTCCACAGGTATGTTTGAGGGCTGTCCTTGTGTTTCTCAAAGACTTTCCTCTCAATTAGTGTCTTCTAACTCAAAAGTTTTGCCTTTTAAAACTTCTTTTCTGCTGTGGACCCCAGTAGCCTGTTTTGGAAGTCAGAAAACCTCAATTTGACTCTTTAACTCTTTTTTATCTTTGCATTTCTTCTACAATCCTCATTCTTCTGAAGGCAATGTGAATGCCTCCAACAGTCTAAGGAACATGTCATTTACTTTGAAGGAGATGCTGAGGCCTAAAGCGCCCATTTCTTGATATTATCTTCATGTATCATCTTAACAGGAAACAGAAGACCAGCAGATCAACATTTTGCAAAATATTTTGGAGGAATAAACATTAGCAATATTATTTCTAAAGATGATACATAAAGAAATTCAGAGCAAGGCTGTAAATGGGAAATTTAAAACCCTTGTAGTCTCTTCTAAAGTTTCATACCCAACACCTGAAGTCCCTGAATCTTAGCTCCAGCTCCCAGCTGGGCTTCTGATAGATAGGGGCCCTAGAGAGACCTCAGAAAATGCAAACTCTTGTCACTGGCTGGGCTTTTGCTTCAGTTTCTGCTCTCTCGGGTCTTCTACCCTGGTCAACTGAATTGGTATGTGTGGGAAATGCAAGAATACTTTAATCTTTCAGGCTAAAGTCGGGGCTAAAGACTTAGGATCCTACTACCTCCTACCTTCACCTTGGGCTTCTTTGACTCCTCAGTCTTCCAAATGATGATGAGTCTAATAACCCAGGAGCCCTCCAACCAATGCTATATGATATGGACAGAACAAGAATGAAAGAGAGGAAATGAGAAGAGAAAAAAAGAGAGGGATATGTTCCATTGATGCTTATTTTGGTAAGAGTTTTTATCATAAAAGTGTGCTGAATTTTGTCAAATGCATTTTCTGCATCTATTGAGATGATCATATGATCTTTGTTTTTGCTTTTGTTTATGTGGTGAATCACAGTTATGGATTTACTTATATTGAACCATCCTTGCATCACTGGGATGAAGCCCACTTGTTCATGGTGGATTATTTTGTTGATGTGCTGCTGAATTCGGTTTGCTAGAATTTTGTTAAGAATTTTGGTATTCTATATTCATAAGGAATATTTATAATTCAAAATTATAAAAGCCATATATAACAAAAGCCATACATGCTAACATCATACTGAATGGGGAAAAGTTGAAAGCATTCCCACTCAGAACCGGAATAAGACAAGGAGGCCAACTGTCACCACTTCTATTCCTCATAGTGCTGGAAGGCCTAGCCAGAGCAATCAGGCAACAAAAGGAAATTAAGGTTATCCAAATAGGGAAAGAGAAGGTCAAATTGTCACTCTCTGCTGATGATAGGATCTTATATCTAGAAAACCCCAAAGATTCTGCCAAGAGACTATTGGAATCAATAAATAAATTCAGCAAAGTCTCAGGTTACAAAATCAATGTACATGCCAACAGTCAAGCTGAGAATCAAATCAAAGACTCAATACCTTCCACAATAACTACAAAGAAAAGAAAATACTTAGGAATATATTTAACCTAGGAGTTGTAATATCTCTATAAAGGGAACTATGAAACACTGAGGAAAGAAATCACAGATGACACAAATAAATGGAAAAACATCATGCTCATGGATTGGCAAAATCAACATTGTTAAAATGTTCTTACTACCCAAAGTGATTTACAGATTCAATGCAATCCCCATCAAAATACCAATATCATATTTCACAGATCTAGAAAAACCAATTCTATGCTTCATTTGGAACCAGAAATGTCCCAAATAGCCAAAGCAACCTTAAGAAAAAGGAACGAATTGGGAGGCATCAATTTAACGAATTGGGAGGCATCAAGATACACTACAAGGTTGTAGTAACCAAAACAGCATAGCACTGGTATAAAAATAGAGAACAGAACAGAGAATCCAAATATAAAACCATCCACATATAGCCATCTGATATTTGACAAAGTAGACAGCAATATACACTGGGAAAAGGAATTCCTATTCAATAAAGGGTGCTGAGGAAATAGGATAGCCACATGTAGAAGATTGAAATAGGATCCATCTCTCTCACACTCACAAAACTTAATTCAAGACGGATAACAACCTTAAATCTAAGACATGAAACTATAAGAATTCTAGCAGAAAATGATGGAAAAACTCTTCTAGATATTGACCTATGCAAAAAATTTATGAAGACCTCAAGGGCAGTCATAGCAACAACAAAAATAAGTAAATGAAACTTGATTAATTTAAAAGCTCCTGCACAGCCAAGGAAACAATCAACAGAGCAAATAACCTACAGAATGGGAGAAAATATTCACATGCTATACATCTCATAAAGGGCTAATAACAAAAATCTACAAAGAACTCAAGCAAATCAGCAAGAAAAGAATCTAAGAACCCCACTGAAAAGTGGACAAAAAACATGAACAGAAGCTTTTCAAAAGAAGATAGACTAATGGTCAATAAGCATATGAAAAAATGCTCAACGTCACTAATCATCAGAGAAATGCAAATCAAAACCACAATGAGATATCACCTAACCCCAGTGAGAATGGCTTTTATCAAAAAGTCCCAAAATAATAGATTCTGGATGGATGTAAAGAGAAAGGAACACTTATATACTGCTGGTGGGACTGCAAACTAGTACAATCTCTATGGAAAATAGTATGGAAATTCCTCAAAGAACTAAAAACAAACCCACCATTTGATCCCACTACTGGATATTTACCCAAAGGAAAAAAAAGTCATTTTATCAAAAAGACACTTGCACTAGGATGTTTATTGCAGCACAATTCACAATCACAGAGATGTAGAATCAACCCATGTGCCCATCAATTCTTGAATGGATTAATAAAATGTGGTATATGTGTACCATGGAATACTACTCAGACATTAGAAAATGGTGATCTAGTACCTTTTGTAACAACCTGGATGGAATTGGAGATCATTCTCCTAAGTGACGTGTCACAAGAATGGAAAAACAAATATCACGTGTACTCATCATTAAATTGGAACTAACTGACCAGCACTCATGTGCACAGATACAGGTAAAACTCAATGGAAATGGTGCAAGTGAGGTGGAGAAGGGATGTGTGAAATCATACTTAACAGGTGCAATGTACACTATCTGGGTGAGGGGTACACTTTGACTCAAGCAGTACAAAAGCAATCCATATAACCAAAACATATGCCATATTCTGAAATTTTAAAAAAAGGAAAAGAAAAAGAGAGGGAAAGTATAACCTTTAACCTTTTTCTCTCCTTAAACTTAGCCACATTTCTATCAGATAAATCCCATTGTGTGTAATAATGAACATATTGACATCTGCTTATATATGTACAAAAGACATACTGTTGGGTTCTGTCTGATTCACTCCAGCTATGATGCCCATACAACTGTCCTTTGGTTTCTGCACCTGGATTCCTAGAATGTTTCCCATTTCCACCTTTTCTGAATCTGTTTTCTCAGCTTTTCCTTCCATTCTGTGAGTATCCTGCAACTTTCCAACCCCTCCCAAAAACTAAAACAAAACAAAATGTTTTTGATTAAGTTAGCCAAGTTGGTTTTGCTTTCTTTAAACCAAAAAGTCAACCACTGCATCTAAGGAGGCTCTTCTCCATTTGCATGTGCTCAGCATCTCACCACCATCATACGACCCAGGGCTAGCTACATAAATTGTGGGTCTCAGTGCAAAATGAAAATGTGGGGCCCTTTGTACAAAACAGTGGAAAACTGTCATTAAAAGTACTAAAATATAAAGCTTTTTCCTTTCTTCCATGGTCTCTTTCAGCACTTGTCATGGAGTTTTTTCTTTTTTACATGTGTAATGTTCTAAGTAAAGAAAAATTATAATTTTTAATTATCATAAATTTTATCATTTATCTTTATTGTACAATGCGCATTTTAAATGCAAATATCAGAGCATTTAACTGATAATGCAGAATTACCAAAATTATAAAATTCTTATTTCATAGTTCATACTATGAAATATATCTATTTTTTTCTCATCAGATTAGTGGAAACACTATACAAAACTAACTCAATTGCCTTTATTTCACTTCTTGGTACATGCACATTCCACCTTTCACTTACTAATAAGTAAAGAAGAACTGAAAGGAATTATAGGAACCTTCTCTTTTATGTCATCATTCTCAGAATGAGTTCCAGGGAAGTAACATAAGTAAGAAAGAATATGGTAAGGTTCCTTGATCATTCAAATTTCTTGGAACATCATTGCCTTCTGTCTGCATGCAAACCAAGTTGTGGTTAGAATGGAAAGTATAACCTCCTAGGGCTATCAGTGCCCCTGTTCACTCAGTTGTAAATGCACTACAGTTACCTTACTCTGGCTTTGAGTCTCACTGACCTTCCACACATTATGGATCCACCAGAACTCTATCCTCATGGAGCATCAGGAAGACTACATGTGGATGTGATGACAAGGAATGGCAGCAAAAACACATATTGCCTGTATCTCCTCTGCTCATACACCTACTCTATTATTCCATTGGACTTTACCTGAAAAATATAAGTTCAAAGATAAAATTATTAAGAATTTCAGGATGGTGACAGCAGACTATTAAAACACTTCTGGACATGAGACCCTGTCCAGCTGCACAGGCGAGATGCTATGAAGCTGGCCCTGACACCACAACTTTTATCTGGAGCAAGAATAGTCAAACTGTCCAGCCTCTCATAAGCTCCTGCCCTGAAGCTTGACCTGTGGACACCTCATTGCAAGGAGCTGTCCCTGCATGGTGGCTCATTCCAGTGTCCTTCTTGTGGGATTCACTGAGAACAAGAGGAAATGGAGTTTCAAATAAGAATGTTATGCTTTTCCTCTTTAGGTGAGTTTCAGAGAAGCTTCTATAACCCCACTTAGGAAGAAGCAGGGAGAAAAATCCCTGGATATTCTACTGGTTTCTATAACTGCAAATAAAGAGAGATTCTACATGGCAGCAGAGGATCCAATAATGACTCTCTACTAGAAAAGATGTGAATATTGCAGGAAACATCCCTGAGAGACTAGAGAGGGACCCTTTTTATTCCCAAAGCCTCAGCTCTGCCCTCCTATGGCAATTCAGATGCTACTGTATTTAAATCACAGAAATGTACTTTTGAATTGGAAGAAAACTTTGAGACCATCAGATCTAACTCTCTCACTTTACAGACAATGTTAGTTGACTTCCCGGCTGTCACAGTGCCAGTTAGGGGCAGCACCAGGCAATAGCCTGAATTCTTAACTTCTACCCCATCATTAGAACAGCATTCTTTTTCCTGTATAATTCTGTTCATACCATGTTCTTGAAATGACAAAATTACAGATATGGAAAACAGATTAGTGATTGTCGGGGATTAGAGATAAAGTGGGAGCGGCTATAAAAAGGAAGGACGAGACCCTTGTGGCGAATCTGTGTCTTGACTGTACTGATATCAATATCCTGGTTATGACATTGTACCATAGTTTTAAAAGATACTCATTGGGGGGAAACTGGGTAAAGGGTACACAGGGTCTCTGTACTATTTCTTACCACTGCATGTGAGTCTACAATCATCTACAATTATCTCAAAATTAAAAGTTTAATTAAAAAAAATTAACAAAGGACACCTTTGAAGTTTGACATCATTCACTTAAGATAATTAATAAAAGAAGCCAGATATTAAGTTGATACTGATTGAGATATTGAAATGAACTTTACTCTCTTACATGAGTGATTTGAGGTTGCACCTGGATTTTTATTTTGCATACAATTCCTGATTTTTCATGTCATTATTATTAAGCCTTACCCTTTCGAGTTACTTCTTTTTGTAGACTATCGGACAGCACCCTTCGAAGAGGACAAGAAGTCATAGCTCCAGGATACACATAATGGAGGTGACATTGATGCCACCGGTGACCATGTGCTTACATTGTTTAGAATCCAGAGAGATTGTGAACATCAGGCAGCACATCTAGAAAACGTTGTTTCATCTCTTCAGGATATCTCAGTGGGGGAGAATAGAAATTTTTTAAAAAAGATGCCCATTGAATACAAAAACCAACAAAGATTATTAAGGCCATCTGGGACTGCTAGAACCCATTCTGATAGGGCAGAGAAATATTAGAGTGTTCCAAACTTTTGAGGTCCATCTTAAATTAAATGAATCATTAAATGATGGTGCCACTTCCCTGAGTAAACATGGTCGCAGCCATCTGTACCAACCACCAACAGAGAAGAATTATTCATATATAAATATATAATGATCAGATATACCCTCCATAATAGGTATTTTGGAATGCAATTTTAAGAGAGAAAGAATGGAGACATTAAAATTCACAACAAGAATAATGAATTGGCTTCAAAGGAAGTTCTAAACAGGGAAGCTCTTTGTTCTGCAGAACTCCCAGTGGGTCACCTTTGATTCTATTTGGAGGTAAAGCTAAAGTATATTCACCAGAACCAGAATATATTCAAGGGTGAATGTGAATTGCCTTTTCACAGACATGATTGCTTTGTAAATAGTCATGAAACAGAGGTTACATATGTTATTATTAGGAATGTGGATACATAAACAAAAAATATCAGTATACCACTTTTGGGCATTTTTCTGATTTTTATTTTATTCTAGCATTTGGGACAAAATGAAGATAGTTTGGCAAATTTGGGCTTATTCACTTAAGGAAAAACCTTTTTTCCTTCCAAGATGAAAAGGAAATAAAATGTTTGTTTCACTTATTTATCCATTCATTCCTTTTCTCCCCAAATACTTTGCATGAGCACCATACTAAGTACTGAGGATACAGCTGTGAAGAATAATAGTGGCAGAAGTTGATCTATTTTACATAGGCATCAGACACCATTCTAACAAATAGTAAATCATGCAGCTTTTCTAATAGCCCTGTCAAGTAGGTATTACAATCATCCTTGCTATGTCACTCGGGAGACTGAACTTTCCCAGGGTTACAAAGCTAACGGGTAGTGAAGCTGGGATTTGAACACAGTAATCCTAGCTCCAGAGTCAAATTCTTAACTGTACACTTACGCAGAGATTGATGGATATAGCTAACCTCATGGAGCTTTTCAGTTTATCAAGGGAGACAGACATTAAACAAATAATGTTAATGAATATTAAGAACTGGTAGTTCAAGGTGTGGTGAGAATAAACCAAGGGGAAATGATCCTCTCTCGCTCTCGTTTCCCTTCCGCCTCTTTGATACAAACACCTCCTCCTCGCCTTCATGTTTTCTCTCATTGATTGAATCAAGCAAGGAGCAGACACTTGCCTTTCCTGGATCCTGGCTAGCCTCAGCATAATGCATCTGAAAACCTGTAAATTCTTAGTAAGGAAAATTATCTCTGATCCATGGTAAACAGCAGAGCTGTGAACTGTGCCTGGCAACCGAGTGTCAATTTCTTAGCTTCTTCTTATGGGCATTTAAAAAAAAAAAAAAATTCTTGCTGTTAGTATTTTATATTTCTTGCTCCTGATATTTCCACTGAAAACAATTTTATTAATGCCAGGATTCAAAAGGACAACGTGAAAGGAAAATTAAATAACTTTTTCATATTACAAAAACCCTTCACGTGGGAACTGATGGTGAGAGCTCAATTTTCTTTGCTCATTGCGGGCCCCACAAGCCTAATTAACACTGGCTCGCAATCAAGGCTATTATTCCGGTGGCTACTTCCTCCACGGACCTGCCACCACAGCACTTCTGACCCTACTTCTTGTTTTCAAGTTCATACAATAGATCTTTTCTAAAATGTCTCTTTTTCCCTTAGGAGAACGAAACTAGTGGTATTAGCTATCTCCCCCACTGCTTTTCTTTGTGGATTCCTTTTTTTTTTTTTTTTTTTTTTATTCCTAGGGCTCTCTCTGGAATGAAAGTACTTTTTCCATTTTGCAAAGGCCTCCTTTCACACTGGAAAAATTGGAGTTTGGTACTAAGTAAAGTGGGGGCCCTCTGACAGAAAAATGATTAGAAAGCACTTTGTTCAGAATTCTAATCCCCTGCCCGACTGTGAGCGCAGGATTACTCCCAGAACGTGTTCGAGGGGCCCCTGCAGGGACGTGGAAAGACACAGGCCCCAGAGTGAGCCAGATTTAATTTTAAATTCCAAATCCATTACTTTCGAGCATGTGACCTTGGGCAAGTTAGATGAACCCTCTAAGCTTCAGTTTCCTCACCTGTAAAATAGAAACACTAATGTCTACTTTGAAAAGCTGTTTTGCAGATTCATTCGGTGTCTACAGAACAGGGTATACAGTAAACTGTGTCTTTTCTTCTTTTTTGGGGGGGGAGGGCTGGCTGGGAGAAGGTCAAGGTCAAGGTGTAGAGCATGGGACAGAGAGTTAAAGGAAGACAGAAGAGTACCCTATAAAGAATTAGAGCCCGGGGTTCTAAGAATTAGTGTCAGCAAGGAAAGCAAGACCACAGCACAGGCACCCAGTGTGGACTACACAGTAGGGGCCCGTGATGAAACGCAAGCCTGGGGGCTGGAATCTGGCAGACCTGGATTCAATCCAATCTCTGCCACTTCCTGGGTGTGTGATTGATCTTTCCTTCTCCTGTAAGGTGAGAGAATTGATACCTGTTTCAAAAGGTCATGATAAGGGTTAAATTAGATAACGTTTTCAATGTGCTTAATCCAGTTCATGGCACATAGTAAGCTCTCAATAATTGATAACTATTTTTGCTACTAGTGGTAGCAATCAGATTCAATAAATTTCTAAATCTTTCCAGGCCTTCACTTACTCACTTTTAAAATGGGTGTAGTAGAAGCTACTTCATATATGACTATTGTTAGAATTGAGACAACCCATTTAAAAACAGATGGTAACATACTTGGTACCTAATGGATAATCAATAATTGTTTCCTCTCTTGCCCACGCTGATCATTACAATAGTTGGAGACTCCCCTCTTGACTTTATGGAGATGTATCTCCATGAATGCATTCTGCTAACTTGTACCTACTTCTCATAGCTTCTTAGTATTTCTCTCCACCTCTTAGAAATCTTCTTTTTTGCCTGTTATTCTCAGACTAGGTTCTTAGTGTCACATTGGTGACCTGGAAGATGTGTCTGAAGTTTCCCAAGAAGGTCCTCCTACTACGGATCCCACATTTCTACTATTAGCAATTTATTTCACCATGTTCTCTATAAAACAGAAATTCATTTTAACATGTCAGTCAGAGTGAGTTTTATCAGAAAACTTTCCTTCTGGACAGGGACACTCAGAATCCCATAAGGGACTGGATACTGGAATAAACAAAGGGTGAGGGAGGACATAGTAGAAAAAGCTTTACAAAGAAAGGCAGGCAGAGGGGACAGTTCTCAAAGGACAACACTTGGTATTTTCACAGCATTTTAAGGAATGGACCAAGGCCTTCAAGAATCAGTTTCTGTTCTCTCTTTCTATTCTCTCTCTCTCTCCATCTCTCCTCTGTTTCCTTTTCTTCCCTCCATCCCTCTCTCTCTTCCTTCCTTCTCTGATTTACATTTATTTTTGGACATTTAAATAACGACACCTACTTTCTCTTTTTCTACCAGAGTATTGGTATTCACATTTATTTTTGTCCGTTTAAATAACTGTGCCCGCTTTCTCTTTTTCTATCAGAGTGTTTTAAGCTGTTTCCCATTTCCCCTTAGTTTCAGATACCGTTTTTATTGCATTTGCAATCCATATGCTGACACAGCACCATTCCCTCCCTCCTCCTCCCCATTTATATCAGATACTATGCAGAAAATTCATCCTACTCAGTGTCAAATGCCAGATCCACTTTGTATATGCATTATTTTTGCTCAAGGTAGGTTTTATTCCCACTCTTCCCCATAACCTCTCTCTCCACACACACACACACACACACACACACACACACACACACACACACACGTTCCCCACCATTACCTGGCCAATAAATCAAGAAACTGTCTATTCTTTATACCCTTTGGAGATGTGTGGAAATATTAGATGGTGAAAGCTGGATCAGTTCAGAGTGAAATAGTGCCCAAAAGCTAAGAAGCATGGAAGCTTATCTGATCACATTTCTTTTTTTCATTTTTTTCCTGAAACTTATCCCAGCTTTTGAGTTTGTAAAGTGAATGAATAATTTGGTGAGAAACAGATTTCTCACAAGATTTGCATAGTCTCCAGCTTCTCTTGAGGCTGAATTTTCGAGGAAGAACACTCTTGCCTTCTGGCAGCTGGAGATATTCGGATCCAGGGAAACAGAATAGACTCATAACTGAGGGACGCACAGCTGAAGGAAGCACATGCACTGTTAGAAATATTAAGTGAACCCGTGGTTACCTCCTTTTGAGTTCAATTTAAGCCTAATGCAGAGATCACAGTGGCTACTCTCATGTTAATTTTAATTGGATTGAGGATCTAACATGTAATTTGTGACCAAAGTTTTTGGAGAACACACCTGAAAAAAAATGTCCCCACACCCTGATCCCAAAAAATAATTACTGGGAGACATCACTAGTGAAGTGCTTTGGGGTATAATAATTGTGTTACTGTATCTCACTATACTCACTAGACTACAGTCTTTTTGAAGGAAGGTTGTGTGTGTGTTACTAATATTCCTGATCCCCAAACCCCTAGCACAGTGCACATCACATGTTTTCAGCAAATTCTTTTTGAGATGAACTGAACTAACTGCATGGATATTTACTAAGCAAATCTCAATGAATGAAGCTCAAGGATGAATAGATTAAAGGTTCAAGCCACAACAGCAAGCCTGTTACCACATTCCACTATCGAGTCCCAGCCAGATTCAACACAAATCTAGACTCAATTTACAGGCAGAGACAGTGGCCATAGAAAAACTGCCTTTCTCTCAGGCTATTTTTCTTCTTTTGCTTTTGTAGCAGTCCTATGCATGTTACATGCATTTGGTTTGTGGCTTCACTGAATTGTGCATGGAATGCAGCATCACCAGACTGTGAGTTGAGACAATGAATTTACGTGCATCCAGAAAGACCCTAGAAAGCAGGGGA